GGATGGCTGTGCTGAATGGTAACTCTGTTTTAAGTTCTCTGAGAAATCTCCAAACTGCTTTCTACAGTGGCTGAACTAATTTACATTCCACCAACAGCGTATAAGTGTTCCCTTTTCTCTGTAGCCTCACCATCATCTGTTGTTTTTTGACTTTCTAACAATAGCTATTCTTACTGGTGTGAGATGGTCCCTCATTGTGGTTTTCATTTGCATTTCTCTGATGATCAGTGATGTTGAGCATTTTTTCATGTTTGTTGGCTGCTTGCATGTCTTCTTTTGAAAACTGTCTGTTCATGTCTTTTGCCCACTTTTTAATGTGGTGGTTGTTTGATTTTTGAATTGTTTAATTTCCTCATAGATTATGGATATTAAATCTTTGTTGGGTGCACAGTTTGCAAACATTTTCTCCCATTCTGTAGGTTACCTGTTTACACTGATAGTTTATTTTGCAGTGCAGAAGCTCTTTCATTAGGTCCCACTTGTCAATTTTTGTTTTTGTTACAATTGCTTTTGAGGACTTAGTCATAAATTCTTCCCCAGGGCCAATGTTCAGGATGGTATTTTCCAGGATTTCTCTAAGATTCTTATAGTTTAGGGTCTTACATTTAAATCTCTAATTGCATCTTGCATCTATGTTCCTCAGGGATATTGGCCTGTAGTTTTCTTTTTTTTCGTTGTGTCTTTGCCAGATTTTGGAACCAGAGTGAAGCTGGCTTTCCAGAATGAGTTAAAAGAATCCCTCCTTGATTTTTTGGAATAGTTTCAGTAAAATTTGTACCAACTCTTCTTTGTGCTTCTGGTAGAATCCGACTGTGAATCCATCAGATTCCATTAGAGGCAAAAGAGGCTTCCTAAGAATGAGAAGGGAAAGGTATTACTAAAAAAGTTTATGTGGTTCATTAGCCATTGCCAGAGGGAAAAAAATTGTGCAAAGAAAAGGCTGGACATGGTGCTCATACCTATAATCCCACCACTTTGGGAGGCAGAGGCAGGCGGATCACTTGTGGTCAGGAGTTCAAGACCAGCCTGATCAACAAGGGGAAATCCTATCTCTACCAAAAATACCAAAATTAGTGGGATGCAGTGGTGCACACCTGTAGTCCCAGCTATTTGGGAGGCTGAGGCAGGAGAAAGGTTTGAACCCAAGAGGTGAAGGTTGCAGTGAGCCAAGATCGTGCTACTGCACTCCAGCCTGAGGGACAGAGTGAGACTGTGTCTCAAAAAAAAAAAAAAAAAAAAGGCCGGGCGCGGGGGCCCAAGCCTGTAATCCCAGCACTTTGGGAGGCCAAGACGGGCGGATCACGAGGTCAGGAGATCGAGACCATCCTGGCTAACATGGTGAAACCCCGTCTCTACTAAAAAAATACAAAAAAACTAGCCGGGCGAGGTGGCAGGCGCCTGTAGTCCCAGCTACTCGGGAGGCTGAGGCAGGAGAATGGCGTGAACCCGGGAGGTGGAGCTTGCAGTGAGCTGAGATCCGGCCACTGCACTCCAGCCTGGGCGACGGAGCGAGACTCCATCTCAAAAAAAATAAATGAATAAATAAATAAATAAAAATAAAAATAAAAAATAAATAAAGAAAATGAAAAAACTTATGGCTGGAGATGGCCACTTTGGACATGGGAAGAAGGGTCCTGTTGAGTTGGGCATCTAAGTGCCAGGCATCAGAAATGATCTAATTAGTCCTCCCAGCAACCACCTCTTGGTGCACCTGCCCTGCTCTGTGGCATCAGAAAGGACGGAAGAGGGATGCTGTGTGGATCCATAAACACTAGCGATGGAGTTTGCCCTGCTCTCAGCCTGTCCTGGAGAGACAGCAGGCCTGCTCTTCTCGAGGCTGATTGGTTCCTTTCCTTTGCAGTGACTTTCCTGTGATAACCTCATTTCCATGAGGCCAGTCCCCAGGGCCAAGGTCCCATGGGCAGGGCCTGTGTGCCTGATGATGGAGGTTGCCCAGCACCCCATTGTCCCTGCTTAGCCTGGCATCTCCTGCTCTCCTGCCAGTTAGCTGCTGCTGCCTAACAAGCCATCCCCAAATGTGGAGGTGTGGGCTTCCTCCAGAGTCAGGGATTTGGCTGGGCTCAGCTATGCCAGGCTGGCTCTGCTCCATGTGCCTCTCATCCCTGTCCTGGGACCAGTGGGCTGCCCAGGTGCGTCCATCTCATGATGATACAGGACTGCAGCAGACAGGAGCACGCAGGCCTCTTGCCACCTAGGCTGGGAACTTGCATTTCATCACCACCACTGCATTTCTTTCCATTCACAGTGCCAGCAGATTCAGGAGAGGGGAAACAGACGCCACCTCTTGGTGGAAGGAGCAAGCGGGGGGTTGGGGGAAACTTGTAGTCATGGTGAATTTAAGGCCATTTTTAATCTAGCACAGCCTCTTCTGAGGGGAAGTGCAGATTTACATGGAGGGGGTGTGGATACAGAGGGGCTGAAGAGCCCAGCCACCGATGCAAGTGGCCATGCCTGCCCCCCTGGTGTCTGGCCACCTGCATACCTTCCCTGCATCCAGTGATGCATTTGAAACTTCCTGCAAACCTGGAACATTGCCCATCTCTAATGTAATAGATTTCCCTGTGGGTCATTCCTACCCACCTCACAGATCGAGAGACAGTCTCAAATTTGGAGTGACTCGCTGACAGTCACACAGCGAGTGCATGGCTGAGCTGGGATTTGAGCACAGTCTGAGGGTTCCAAAGTTTGTCCCCTCTGCAACAGCAAAATGACCCAAAGTGGTGTCCACAGGGCTATTGCTCCTTGGGGGTGAACTGTCGTCCTTGGGACAAGGTTAGCCACTTATTGTGTGTGACCATCAGCCAAGCCCCCTTCCCAGAGGCCACTGGGCAGAACCTTGGAGCCTCATCTTGGCTTCAGGGATGGAGCCCCAGGCTGTGAGCACTGGGGGCTGTGTGAGGACGTGTTGGTGCCAGTGGGGTCGGCATTACCATGCCTCACCCTGCATCAGTTGCCACACTTGTGCCATGGCATGGCTTTTGGTGACTGTGTGACTGTCGCTGTGCATTGCCCTGCCCTGTATTTCTCCAGGGGCCCAGGGCTAAGGTCTATTCTGTTCTGACCTCCGATGCCTGCATGGGCTGGTGGGGCAGGAGGGGAGCTTGCTGTGGATTGCAAACAGGAAGTACAGAGCCACATGGCCAGGGGAGGGACCCAGAGGTGGACCTATTTAAGGGCAGGGAGCAGAGGACACCATGCGACCAAGTTGTCCAGCTGCACACGGTGGAAGGGCTGACCTGTTCTCTGCCCTCTTCATGGGCTCCCCAAAATCTGCTGTCCCCCATCTCCAGCCCTACCAGACCCCGCCTCACCCTGACTCCAGGTTTCTCTTGCATCCCATTCAGAACTGCCCCTCCTTAGTTGAACCTGGAACTGTGGCAGGCTTGCCATGCATGGGGAGCGGGGAGAATGAGGCAGTTCCTGTCCCAGACCCATGGAGTTTACCGTCTTGTGGAAGGCCAGGCAGTGGACAAGCCATGCAGATGACACATTCCTTTCAGTGCATGGGGGCCACGTAACCCAGCTGCAGGTGACACGGGGACAAGGAAGGTTTCCCGGAGGAGGAGTCTTTAGGGCAGGCTGGGGTGGGGGTGTGGAATATGGAGCCAGACCCCTAGTTATGTCCCTCACAAGCTGTGTGACCTGGAGCAAGCTACCGACCCTCTCTGAGCCTTAGTTCTGTGAGGCTGGAGTTGTTCACCTTCACAGAGTTGCTATGAGGGTGATTTGGGAGAATATGTTTTTTGGGGAGCACGTGCTCTGTGCGCTGGAACTGCTCATTCAAAAAGCAACTATGTTGAAGCCACATAGTGGGGACAGGGTTCCAGGCAGAGGCAACAGCACATACAGGTGCTGCTAGGAGCAGTGAACTTGGCTGTTGGGAGGCTGTGAGGGGCTCTGTGCTGGAGACTGGGCTAAATCTCTTCCTCTCAGGCTTCCAGACTGCAGGAGTGTGGTGGCCACTCCACAGAAGCAGGAGGGACCCCACCCCAGATCTGCTTTGAAGGTGGAGACTGACCGCTCCACATGCTCACCAAGAGGGCACAGAAGGCCCTGCTGCTCACACATGGGGCTTCGTGGGGAGAGCAGGGCAGGCTCCCAAGCTGGACTGAAAATGGCTTGAGATGTTGAGCAGGAGAGGAGTTTGACATGGGGTTCTGTTGCGACAACTCCAGGCCGATGCAAGGAGCTCCCTCCTCGGGCTCCAGTGCAGGTGCATGTAGTGTCTGCGTCTCCCTGAGGGGAACAGGTGGCCCAGGGAGCCTGCCCCAGTGGGTGGGGCTGTTCATCTGTCCAGCAGAGAAGGAGGAAAAGCACCAAGGGCAGGACCCTGTCCCCCAGTGTGGGGGCTGCAGAGGACTGAGTTGGGAAGAGCAAGCATTCAGGGGTGGTTGGAGATGGCACCAGAAGGGACCAGACGCCAGATGACAGTGGGCCCCATGTGCCAGACTGGGAGGACAATGTCTTGCTGGGTACAGGGGCAGCCACAGGAGAAGGGGTCAGAACACGGCTGTGGGGAGAGCGCCCTGTTGCCTCTGGATGGTGGTGATGGCAGCAGGGGCCCTGTGAGAGGCTATTTCTGGCAATAATAGGAACCAGAGATGACAAGGACCTGGGAAGGGACAGAGGGATAGTGCATTGGCATGAGATTAGAACTGGAGGGAGAGGCCGGGCACGGTGGCTCACGCCTGTAATCCCAGCACTTTGGGAGGCCAAGGTGGGTGGATCATGAGGTCAGGAGATCAAGACTATCCTGCTAACATGGTGAAACCCCATCTCTACTAAAAATACAAAAAATGAGCTGGGCATGGTGGCGGGTGCCTGTAGTCCCAGCAACTTGGGAGACTGAGGCAGGAGAATGGCGTGAACTCGGGAGGTGGAGCTTGCAGTGAGCCGAGATGGCGCCACCGCACTCCAGCCTGGGTGAGAGAGCAAGACTCCATCTCAAAAAAAAAAAAAAGAACTGGAGGTAGTCAGCCATGGAACTGCTCAGCCTCTGTGTCCTGCAGACATTGGGGGTGCCCGTGACCCCTTCTGGGAATAAGGTTCTGGAATGCATCAAAGCACATAAGGTTAGGAAAAAAACCCTCGTGCTGAAATCTAAATATTGAACAAATTGCGACATCAGAATTAACCTACGTGCATCTGGGCTACTTGTGCCTTGCTGTCCCCACCTAAATTGGTCATAATGACTCTGACCTCCCAGGGCTTTTGTGGGGCCTCAGTGACTTGGGGTTTGCTGAGCATTCAGAACCCTGCCCAGGACTGAAGGGGTTGTCACCCTGGCTGGGTGCGTTCTGTCCTAGGATAGGCTGTATTTCCTGGGGCTGCTATGACAGTGTGCACATGTTAGGTTCTTAAAACAACACAAACTGATCCTCTGTCTTCTGGTCTGGAGCCCAGAAGTCTGAGATCCAAGCAGCAGCAGAGCCCTGCTCCCTTTGAAAGCTCCAGGGTAGGATTCTTCCCTGCCTTCTCTGGCTTCTGGTGGCTGCCCCAGGCCTCCTGGGCTTGTGGCCTCATCACTCCCATCTCTGCCTCTTCCACATGGCTTCTTTCCCGTGCCTGTGTCTCCTCCCTTCTCTTCTTGTATAAGGACACTTGTCACTGGATCTGGACACTCGTCCCCAGATTCTTATCATGTCGTGACCTTGTGTGGCTCTGTGGGGAGGCGGGGCTCAGCTGGGCGGGTCTTCTGCTGCTCTTGCTTGGGGTCTGTCATGCAGATGGTGCTGGGGATGGAGCTATTGGAGGCTGGACTCTGATGCTGGGATATTCAGGTCTTGCTTCTCCTCCAGCTGATCTCAGGGCCTGCCCCTCTCCACTGGGACTCTCCAGCTGGACTTCTTGAGTGGTGGCTCAGGCCCAAGGGAGCAAACACTGAGGCTGTCAGGTCTTCTTGAGGCGGAGGCCCAGAGTGGCACAGCCTTGCCCCCATGGCACTCTCCTGGATAGAATGAGGCCCAGCCCAGCCCAGATGGTCCACACGATGTCAGGTGACCATGCTGTAGGCATGGTCTCTGAACACTTGCATGGTTTCTGAACAGTTGGGTTTCAGAATCTCATGTTGAAATGTTTGAAATATGCACAAATGTTTTGTTTTCCTCCTTGAATCAATGCAGTTCATTTCCGCTTAGTAACAACTTGCAGCCCGGCATTCTGTCTGTGCTCTGAGGGCTGGCAGGGTCTCACCTGCTCATGCCTCCAGGGCACTGTTTGCATTTGATTCCAGAGGCAAGTAGGAGCAGGTAAGCCTTGGATATGTGGCACCAAGTTTGCAGGTCCTGGGGTCTTGCTTTCCTCCGTTAGGCCTCTTTGAGATCTGGGCACTGGACAGGAAGGACAGCCACTGACTGGTGGAGTGACACCAGCTCACCCCAAGTTCCCATCTCCCCCTGTAAATGTCAGAGTGACACTGATGACCCCTAAGAGTCCTGGCAGCTCTGTCACTTTATGAGATTCCTAAATCTAAGAGTGGGAAGAGGAGAAGGCACTGCAGAGAGGGGTCTCACGCTGTCTTGCAGCTCTCCCGGGGCTGAAACTGAGTGCGGATCAGCTGGCCCTGGTCTACAGCACGCTGGGGCTCTGCCTGTGTGCCGTCCTCTGCTGCTTCCTGGTGACAGTGGCCTGCTTCCTCAAGAAGAGGGGGGATCCCTGCTCCTGCCAGCCCCGCTCAAGGTCCTGTCAAAATCCGGCCAAGTCTTCCCAGGGTGAGTTCGTGAAACTGGGGTCCTCGCCCTTCTCGATGCTTGGGTGACAAGCCTCGGGCCATCCCTCCGTCCTGTCACTGCCCCTGCTTCTAAGTGGAGAGGCCCAGGGCTCATCCCTGTTATTCGCTGTAGCTTGATAAAATCAATTTAAGACATCCTGGCAGGCAGATACCCAAGAGAGTGGCACCCAGGAAGGGTGGGTGTGGGGTGCCAGCCTTCAGATTTGCCTGGGCCCAGGATTCTCAGGATGCAGGGCCTTTAGGGCTAAGCCCGGGAGGAGGTGTCCCTTTGGGGGGTGTGGCAGGCTTGGTGCTGGACTGAAGTGAGAGTCAAGATTTGCCTGCCCACCCCTGCCCAGGCACAGGTTCTGGTTGGCAACTGGGGGACACTGACACTGGCCTGGGTGATTGCCCTTAGCTCCTGGGTCAGAGAAGAGTGCAGCTGCCCACACCGTCACCCCTACCCTGGTGCAGGGCCAGGCCTGGCCCACACACTCCACTCTTGCCTCTGCAGATCACACGATGGAAGCTGGCAGCCCTGTGGGCACATCCCCTGAGCCAGTGGAGACCTGCAGCTTCTGCTTCCCCGAGTGCAGGGCGCCCACCCAGGAGAGTGCAGTCATGCCTGGGACCCCCGACCCTACTTGTGCTGGAAGGTGGGGGTGCCACACCAGGACCACAGTCCTGCAGCCTTGCCCCCACATCCCAGACAGTGGTCTTGGCATTGTGTGTGTGCCTGCCCAGGAAGGGGGCCCAGGTGCATAAATGGGGGTCAGGGAGGGAAAGGAGGAGGGAGAGAGATGGAGAGAAGGGGAGAGAGAAAGAGAGGTGGGGAGAGGGGAGAGAGATGGGGAGAGAGATATGGGGAGAGAGAGACAGAGGAGGCAGAGAGAGAGAGAGAGAGACAGAGGGAGAGAGAGACAGAGAGGGAGAGAGAGGAAGAGAGGCAGAGAGGGAAAGAGAGAGAGGCAGAGAGGGAAAGAGAGAGAGGCAGAGAGGGAAAGAGACAGAGAGGCAGAGAGGGAGAGAGGCAGAGAGGGAGAGAGGGAGAGAGGGAGAGAGACAGAGGAGGCAGAGAGGGAGAGAGAGACAGAGCAGGAGGTCGGGACACTCTGATTCCCAGTTCCCAGTGCAGCCATCACCTAACCACATGTGCAATAAAGTCCTCGTGCCTCCTGCTCACAGACCCTGAGAGCCCCTCCTCCTGGAGAATAAAACCTTTGGCGGCTGCCCTTCCTCACTGCATTGTGGTTGGGTCTTTGATGAACCAAGACTTCCCGTCTATCACCTTCCTGGGCACAAGGCTCCACTGAACCCTGCCCCCTCGGTTTGGGAGGACCTGTGATGCCCCCATCTCACCAGGCTCCTGAGGAAGCTTGTGACTTTGGGTTGAGCGCTAGGCAGCCAGGTACCCACTCGGGTTCTACTTCTCTCTCATTAAGAGAGAGAAAGAGACCAAAGAATGGTCTGCAGGGAGGGCGCCTGTGCAAACACCCAGGGAACCAGGGTCTTGAGCCGTCTTCATTTCCTAACAGACACACATTCCCTTCCATGCCTCCTTAGTGAGGGCATGAAGCACAGTGTGTGTGTGTATGTGCAGGTGTGTGCGTGCATATGGGTGTGCATGTATGAGTGTGCATGCGTGTATATGTATGTCCATGTGTGTGTCTGTGCATGTATTTAGGTACGTGTGTGTGTTGTGGGGGTGTGCAGTGGACACGAAGGGGAGGGCAGCTCTAGCTGAAAGCTGCGAGTCTCTGAAAAAAACATCGAGATTCCCTGGACCACAGCAAGAGAATGTTTTCATCTGCATCCACTTTTTGTTAGCATTTAAAGCTATATCTTGAGTAGCATGTAAACCTTAAGTAAACTATAGAAGCATTTTCACAGTAAGATAAATCCATAATAATGTACATTGAAATTATGCACCCTGCACCTCCTAAAATTATCTTGCAAACCTGCACACACCAAAGGATCCCTTAGCGCACTTTGGGAGGTGTAGACAGGAAGCCTGGGCCTCCATAGCTCATTCCATCTTTTCAACATCCCTGGGCTAACAGGCTGCATTGGTTTGCTAGGGCTCCCTTAAAGTACCACAGACTGGGCAGCTTCAGCAACAGAATCTCACTGTCTTACAGTCCTGCAGGCTGTAGGTCCAAGAGCAAAGTGTCGGCACGGAAGGTCCTTTTCCAGGGTGGTCCAGGAAGGCTCTGTTCCAGGTCTCTCTCCTGTCATGTAGGTGGCCTTCCCTGTGTCTCCTCACTTCGTCTTCCCTCTGTGTGTCTCTGTCCACATTTCCTTTTCTTATAGTAAGGACACCAGTGGTTAGATTGGGTACCCCCTACTGACCTCATTTTTCATTTTAACTTATTTCTATAAGATGATGTCTCTAAATAAGATCACATTCTCAGGCACTGGGGCTAAGGACATCAACACAGGAATTTCAGGGGACAAGTTCAACCCATCACACAGGCCCTCCCCGAGGCCACCTCTGCATCATCTTTGTCTACAGGCAAGTTGGCATCTAAAAAGTGTCTGCCCAAGACATGCGTCTGGCCCATGGTACAGCCAGTCTTCACGGCCATGGGTGAGATCTGGGTGGCATTGTTTCCTCACCGCCATGCCTCATGCAGGCAGCTGCCTTCTTATAACAGGGTGGACACAAATCCCGGCACTGGTGCAGACAGTTACTGGCTGTGCGTGAAGTAGCCCCATGTCAGTGTGCTGCAAAGATGCGGCTTAGAATGTTACGGCTTGTGTGAAAGATGCGCAGATTTCTATTCCTTCCGATCTGTGGTTTCAAGTTCTGCTCGTCTGAACCCAAGGGGCTCTGTAGGGTGCCTCTGGAACAGCCAGGGTGTTACGGGTGCTGAAAGCACAAGGTACCCAGGCTCAACCCCAGCTCCAATCACACAAATAATCTTGTGGTAGTGTTTCTTTGGTCAGATTTTTAAATTGATCTTTTGTACTTTTTTTTTTTAGAAATGGGTCCTTTGGTAGAAAGAACATCTGAAACTCTAAATACCTAAATACTGTCCATTCTATCCATGTATTGTTGGTCTTATCCCTAAAGTACATCATGATTCCAGCCACTTGTCATGATCGCTTTAATCTGAGCTCCCATCATTTTTCGCCTGGATTACTGTACCAGCCTCCCCGATGGCCTCCCCAATGCCACCTGGCTCCCTCCCCAGGGCTCAGCAAGATTTTTCTGCAAAGGACCTGGTAGTAAGCGTCTTGGGCTTCGTGGACCCTGTGGTCTTTGTTGCACCTACTCAACAATTACTCAGCTCTGCCACTGCAGCCCCAAAGCAGTCACAGACAAGAAGTGAACACAGGGGAGGAACTGTGGCTCCGATAAAACTCTATTCACCACGACAGGAGGGGGACTGCATCTGGATTGTGGGCCATAGTTTGCCAACCCCTGCCTGACTTCATGGCAACACTGAACTTCGTATTTATGCTTCTTAAAAACATGTGTAAGCCAAGTGCAGTGGCTCATGCCTGTAATCCCAACACTTCCAGCTGAGACTGGAGGATTGCTTGGGGCCAGGAGGTCCAGACCAGCCTGGATAACACAGCAAGATTCCGTCTCTACAAGAAACCATTTCAAAAGCAGTCAGGCATGGGGGCCCACACATGTAGTCCCAGCTACTCAGGAGGCTGAGGTGGGAGGATCGCTTGAGCCTAGGAAGTCAAGGCTGTAGTGAGCTGTGTTTGGGCCACTGCACTTCAGCCTGGGTAATGGAGCAAGACTCTCTGTCTCTCTGTGTGTGTGTGTATATATATATATATAAAATACTGTGTGTGTAATGGTTGTCTACAAGATACACCTTTAATCACAGTCAACCCTCAAATAACACGCATAGTGTAGGACCCTTATAACGCTACACTCCCAACTCTTCTCCCCACCCATCTTTTGTTTTCTTTCTTCCACGGATTCTGTGACCATCTTCCTCTCCTCATTGACTCTGCGTGAGCGGGATTCCTGGTGGGGAAAGGTAGCTGGTGAGAAATGAGGTATCTATGAGGTATAAATGAGAAACTAGCAAAGGGTCTTCTGGTTGTCTGGGGACAGTTTTTGTGTGGTCCGCAGCCTAGTCTCAAGGGTTCTGGGCCGGTCACCCTGCAGCCTTTGTGCTGTGTCTCTATATCCGGGCTCCGAGGGAAGGGCCCTGGGAGACCCAACAGAGCGGGATGCCTGGTCTGACAAACGTCCCCCCAATTCCTCTGGCTGTGTGGCTCAGGGATAGGCCCAGACAGTGCGTCCAGGTGGTGCCAGGCTACCTCCCCACTCCCTTTGAGATGGGCCCAGAGGGTCTTGTGGGGTGAGCATGAAGCTGGGCACCCAAAGCCTCGGGCCCAGTGTCCCTCCCTGTGTCCCAGAGGAGGGCCCCTGACCTGAGAAGACCCCCAGTGGCTGGCCTATGGGTGCCAATGTGGGGAGGGGTGGCTCTGTGGACTGAGGGGGGTCATTGAAAGAAGACTTTGAGCACCATGGCTCAGAGACCTGGGCAGGAGAGGCCTGGTCAGCAGAGACTTGGACATTAGGACTTGGTCACAAAAAAATACGATCAGAAAGGACATGGCCATCAGAGACTTGGTCAGGGGGCCTGGTCATTGAGGGATTGTCAGTGAGGACCTGGTCATTGGGTGCTTGGTCAATGGGTCTTCTTGGTCAGTGGGGACCTGGTCAGTGGAGATCTGATTACTGGGGGCTTGGTCATCAAGAGCCTGATCAGTCAAGATCTGGTCAGTGAAGGCCTTGTGGGCGGGCATTGGTCAGCAGGGGCCTTGTTGCGGGGGGCTTGGTCAGTGGGGGCCTAGTTAGTGGAGTCCTGGCCAGCTGGCCTCTGGGTGACCTCTTGCAGGGGTTTGTCCTTGGAACTAGCTTGCTGCCATCTGTAGTGGAGATGAGGCATGTCACCCCAGAGGGCTACTGGGAGAAGGAGGTGAGCAGATGTGTGGAATCCGGCCCTGTCACACAGACCTAGCACTTTACACCCTAGCTGAGTCCCCTGCTAAAGAGAGGGCCTGCCCTCTGCCCTCCACCCTCAATTCTCTGCCCCCCACCCACAGGACTGCCCCACCTAGGGAGGGCTTAGGTTGGGGAGCACCTGTGGACACTCTGATGCTGGCCACAGGCCCAGGGCCGGGGATGACAGTGACAAGGACCTGAGTGTGTACATGAATGGGGCCACCTGGCCCAGCCATAGAAGCAACACACCATGTGCACATGTGTTCACCCACATACGTGTGCACGCTCACGTTCACAAATACACTGCATGCACACATGTTGATGCTTTGGGGGTGGAGGACGCTGACTCTGGGCCCTGCTGACCCAGGCGGGGGCCCGTTGTGATGGGTGCCGTGACCCCGCAATGTCACTGGTGCTGAGTCCCCGCCGCCTACCCGGCTGCCTTCTGTGTCTGGAGCTCTTGGAGACAAGACACACAGCGGTGTCTGGTTCTGCACGGAGGAGGCTTTCCTGAGTGAGAGGCACAGCTGGATCAGCAGACTCAGGTGAGTGTGACCTGCTGTGTTCCCTCCCTGTTGACCTGGGACAGTCGCTACCTGGTGGGCGGTGCCGGCCTCAGGTCCCTGAGCACTCACCAGGTACCTGTTCTGCACTGATGGTATAGATGTTTGTCTCGTTCGTCGTCACAGTAACTCTGGGGGGTAGGTGCTGTCCCCTAATGTACTCATTCCACAGGTGAGATCTAGGGTCAGAGAGGCAGTGACTGGCTCAGGGACCCAGATGTGACCTTGGGCGGTGCTCTTAGCCCTGCCCTGTGCTGTGCTTGACTAAAGCCCTGACCTCTGTGGCCTCCCTGCCCTGGATTCCAAATCTGCCCGGGGTTCCAGCCCCTGAAGGGGCAGAGTCTGGCCCTGGAAGAGCCACTGGGACAGAGCTCCTATGGGTGGGGTGGAGGGGGTGGTCTTCTGTCCAAGTCTGTGCCCTAAGCTGGGTCCCCGCAGGAGGAGGTCTCACCAACTCAGACTTCACATGCAGTCACTGATGGCCATTGGGGGAACCACTGGACACATGGGGTCCTTTGTCTGGGAGTGGGGTGAAGAGCCCTCTGCCCTTGGGCAGTTGAGTAGGGGACTTTGAGCACTGCTGCTCTGGGACCTGGGCAGTGGGGACCTGGTCAGCAGAGTCCTGGCCAGGGAGGCGTGGTCAGTGGGGGCCTGGTCATCGAGAACATGGTCAGTGGGGGATTTGGTCGTCATGGGTCGGGTTAGTGGGGGCCTGGTCAGCAGAGACTTGGACACTGGGGCTTAGTGAAAGTATGATCAGTGGGGAAATAGTCAAGGGGCCTGCTCAGCAGGGCCTGGCTAGCAGAGGCCTGGCCAGCTGGCCGCTGGATGACCTCAGACAGAGGGTTTGTCCTTGGAGCCTCTTTGCCTCTATTCATAGTGGGGTTGAGGCATGGCATCCCTGAGCACTCGCCAGGTGCAGGTTCTGCACTGACCTTGTGGACGGCCTTTTCCTTCATCCTCACAGCAACTCCGTGGGTGGATGCTGTTCCCAAATGTAGCCATTCCACAGGTGAGATGTCTAGAGTCAGAGAGGTAATGACTGACCCAGAGACCCAGATGTGACCCTGGGCTGTGCTCTCAGCCGTGCCCTGTGCCATGCTGGACTCAAGCCCTGACCTCGGCAGCCTCCCTCCCTTAGATCCCAGCCTCCCTCCCTTAGATTTCCCTGGGGTTCTTCATGGGGTGGAGGGGGTGATTCTCAGTCTAAGTCTGTGTCCGAAGCTGAGTCTCCACAGGAGGAGGTCTCACCAACTCAGACTTCAGGTGCGGTCACTGATGGTCCCCATGAGCCCCACTGGACACATGGGGTCCTTCATCTGGGAGTGGGGTGGGGAGCCCTCTGCCCTCAGGCAGTTGTGGAAAATGAAGGAGCTCTAGAGGGCTGCCTGGAGGGTGACGATTGTCTCTCCTGGTCAAAGGGGCTTGGGGACTGGAACCTTCTCTGTCTGATCCTCTGGAGACCTTGTCCTCCCTTTGTCCCAGGTATTCTCAAGGAGGATGGTCCCCCTGGGTGTTCTCCAGGACCAAGGCCCCAGAGTTCTGTTGTTTTTTTCTTGGTGATCCAGGAAAACGAAGCCCCCTCCTGTACTGACAGCTGGGAATTGCGGAGTCCGCCGTCCTCCACCTCAGACGGGGTTTCCACAAGCAAAGAGGCTGCTTTGGACTCAATAGGTCATTTTTTCCCCAAACTAAACACCCTCCTGCTTAGCTGGCGTTGTTCCTGAAGTGGCTTCACTGGCCAGAGTGAGTGAGAACTGGAGTAGAACGGAGCAGTCACCAGATGTCTTGCTTCCTACAGAAAACTGGGCATCTTCATGGTCCCAGAAGGATCCCAGGAGGCTGATCCTAAAGAGATGTCTGGTTCCTGACCCCAACTGCCTCCAGGTGCCCGGAACAGCCCATCGTGGACCCTTTACCCTCAGCAGGTGGACGCTGTTTGTCCTGCCAGGGCAGGTGTGTGCCTGTCTCAGAGCATTTGGGAACAATGGGCCTCTCTGTCCAGGTCCCCATGTGTTCAAATCCTCAGGAAGGAGCCCACTTCTGGTCCAGGGCAGGGACTCTAGAGACTAGGGCAGGGGTGGAACCACTGGGCTTAGCCTCTTGTCTCAGGGAGCAACGGTGGAATGGGGCTTACCTGTCTGGCCAGCATTTGGGGGTCTGGTGGGAGCCGTTCGGGTGTGCTCTGGAGCTCTCGGGTGCAGCACAGCCTTTGGATGACTTTGTCTTGCAGGATGGAGATGGATGAGGACCCGGATATCCTGCGCACCCAGGGGCAAGGCAACATCATCATTACTAAGTATGAGCAGGTACAGGTCAGGCCGCTCCCTTGAGGAAGGTGGGGCCTCAGTTCCTCTACTGGTCAGAGCCTGGTCAGAGGATCCTGGGCTCCCCAGGATCAGAGGGTGGAGATAGGCTGTCCATGCTCTCAGGACCCCAAGCCCCTCACCTTGCCCTTGTCTCCCTGGCCCTTGCTGGGTCACAGGGACGCTGAGCTGGGGCAGCAGTGGCCATCGAGCATGAGCATGTTGACATCTGGAAATTCACCGGTCGCCTCTGGGTTATGTGGTGAGTCCTCTGTCCCCCACCCACCAGTCTCACCTCAGGGATGGGTTTTGTTTTTAGAAAGGTCTCTCTGAGTTAGGGCAGGTTTCCCCGGCTCAGGCCAATCTCCTCTCTAGGGTCAGAACTCCTCCCTGCCTCTCCTACAGGTCCAGCCCGTGGTCAGGGTTAGGGCAGAGCCTCAAGGCCCATATAGGGAGCTGGGGAGAGTGAGTGGGTCAGAGAGGGGCTGGGTCAGCCCCCGGGCCCTCAGCACTGAGGTCTCCACGTGAGCAGGAGAGGAGGGGGCAGCCTCAGGGTCTGGCCCTGTCCCCTTGGGGCCTGCCCTGGTGAGATCTGAGGGTGGTGGCCACAGGGCAAGGGGACACCTGGCCAGGTCTGTGGGCAGTTGTGTAGCAGGTCTCCAAGGGCTCAGGGGGCCCAGCTGAGGCATCCTATAGGGAGGGGCATGGGGACAGCAAGGGCTGTGACCCTGGAAGGCTAGGGGAGAAGAAGGGTAGGACCTGGCCTGGGCATCTCATAGTGAGGCCAGGGGAACAACACAGCGTGCAGCTGAAGGCCCCGGGAGTGGTGCTGGGATAGGACCTGGGCCTGGTAAGGGGAGCCCAGCCTGGAGCCGACCCCTCAGGGCTCACAGGATGGAGAGAGGGAGGAGCCTGGGGCAGGGGGGCGGGGTGAGCCCGTGAGACCTGCCACTTCTGGAAGGCACCTGAACCAAGATGGCCTAGGGTGGAGCTGATAGTCTGGGGAGGAAAACAGGTGGGGTGGTCAGGGAACAGTGGCTCACCTGGGACCCCTCAGTGAGGGGACTCGGTCAGTCCCCAAGGCTCTGCGTGGCCCTCCAGAGACTCTGCTTCCCGCTGGCTCAGTCAGCACTGTGCAGGGTGGATGGGGGGCTGAGTTGGGGTAGGTAGGACAGTAGGGGGAGGACAGGCAGGCATCCCACGTCCTGGTTTTTGCAGTGGCTGGGAGGAGGCTGAGGGCTGAAAGTCAATGACCCTGAGAGCTCACTGAGGCTGTAGGTGGGGTGGTGGGGCCAGCTCCACTGCCTGCAGGGCCCTTGGTCACCCTTGTCACCCCAGGCTTCTCCCCAGCAGCGCTGAGCAGCCCAGTTAGAGACCTGGGGGTCTCATGCCTAGGCTCTGACAGGAAGAGAGTCCGGGAAAGGCCAGGGTGGCTGGAGATAGGGTCACAGTCTCTGGGTCAGGCAGGATGGGCGACGATGGGGAACAGGCAGGGTCAGCGGCCAGGGCGCAGGCAGAGGCAGGTGCACGCTGGGAGGTCAGACCCTGCAAGGCCTGTGGGGAGTGTCGGGTGGGATGGGTTTCAGGTGCGTCCTCAGGGCGCTGGGCAGCTCTCAGGCCAGGCTCCCTGGACTCTGGTGGGTGATGTGGTCACTCCCGAGGCACTGCTGTCAGTCAGGGCTCGGGCACCCACCCTAGGCTGCACCCATCCCGTCTCAGAACTGGACTTTCTCAGCTCCCGCAGAGGGTGTTGCGTCCAGCCCAGGAGGAGCAGTCCCACTGTGTGGGCCGAGGTACCCCACGGGCCCCAAGTGGCCCCTGCCAGGCTAGCCTCGAGCTCCCTCTTCTCCAGGGTCCTTGTGTCTCGTGGGCGTCAGCTCTACAGGGAGGCCCTTGCCTTCCTTCCTTGTGCCTTGTCCCGGGATGAGACTTAGGGTGGATGGGGAGGGCCGGGGCCCTTTCATGGACGAGGATGGCTCCTGGCCCGGGCAGGTCCTCAGCTCTGCCTGGGTTGCCTTACAGTGAGACAGAGTTGCCCATGTCAATGCCCTGAAGGTGCACATAAGAGCCAGTGCCTGCTGCGTGGGAGGCTGGTCCAGGGACCAGGAATCAGGGGTGGTTGGTGAGACAGAGGGGGTGGCCCGTGGGCCCAGGCAGTGGTGAGTAGGCCATGGCTGTCCCTGGGATGGGCAGCCTTTCCTGATGGACTCTGTTCCCATGAGCGTTTGACCAAAACCCAAACCAAGAACCACAATCTTGGCTCAGAGGCCATTGCCTGTTTGCACCAAGTCCCCAGCTAAAGGCCGGGGCCCGACCAAAACTCGGGGTGTTTGTGGCCTGAGGATTGCATGTCCTGGGATCACCAGCCCAGATCACCAGCTCCAGTTAGTTCAGAGAGTCTCAGCTCCCAGGGTCTGCTCTGTCCTGGCTCCTTCAGGGCCCGGAAGCCCAGGACGCAGCATCCATGGGCCGCTGCTGGAGGCCTGGCAGCTCCACTAACTCCATCCTGGTTCATTTGACAGCAAAGATGTCAGGAGATAAAACGCACTGCCAAGTGGCTGAAAATACTCAGAGACTGGACAAAATATAAGAACAGCAGGAAGGTAACATAACAGCTGGGACTGGTGGCTCAGACCTGTAATCTCAGCACTTCAGGAGGCCGAGGTGGGCGGATCACCTGAGGTCAGGAGTTTGAGACCATCCTGGCCAACATGCGAAACCCTGTCTATACTAAAAATGCAAAAATTAGCTGGGCATGGTGGCGGGCGCCTGTAATCCCAGCTACTCAGGAGGCTGAAGCACGAGAATTGCTTGAACCCAGGAAGTGGAGGTTACAGTGAGCCAAGATCACGCCATTGTACTCCAGCCTGGGCGACAAGAGTGAGACTTCATCTCAAAAGAAAAAGAAGGTAACATGGGGAGGGAGTGGCCTCTGTGACTGCTCTCTGCAGTCAGGAGACAGGCGCCCATGGCCATGACATGGCACCATCTGCCTCTCAGCGGGTGGGTGGCACCCAATCCTCACCATAGGACAGCAGGACTGTTTGCTGGCTTTCCTCCCCCAGTCACCACACGTCCTGTCTCACTAGAGGGTTATTCTGTCTGTAGCTGTCTCAAAGCGTGTACAAAGGCATTCCCCTGGTGGTGTGAGGCTGGGCGTGGTCACTTCTGCTAGACATTGACAAAGTCAAGTCTCAGAACCCGGGAAATACAAGGTAAGGCCCTCCCACACTCGGCCAGGGCAGGACAAATAGGCCAGGCTGTGTCAGGAGCCCAGGACTCCAGCTGGAGGGAATGTTGAGCCCGGGTTGGGGGTGGGGGCTGTGGTCAGACGCACATGCTGGGCACAGATGGTGACACAGGCACCACAGGTGCCTGTGACCTCCCTGGCTTCAGAAACAAGGCAAAAAAAGAGCTTTCTGCAGAAGGAAACCTTCCTCCCTTTCTTCCAGAAGTGCTGACTGTGGGAGGACTGCCGTTTGGGGCAGGAAGTCTTTTGTCTGTTTTGAGGCTGCTTCCTCCTCTCAGCCCTACCCTACAGGTCATGAAGGAGAAAGGCAAGAGGTCCTCCAGGATCACCCACCACATCAAGGTAGATGCCAGCCGCACCCCGCAGAACCACACGATGTTTAGAGAAGGATTCAGAGTCAAGTAAGGCCTATGGGGGCTGCAGGGGTCCCGGGAAATATGGGGTGATCCAGAGGGATAAGGGCTTCCCCAGGGCAGAGGCCATGGCCACCCAGGAGGAGTGACAGAGCTGCCAAGGGCTCTCCTGGCCCAGGCAACAGCCAGCGTTATGGACTGAGCACCTCCCGGGCTCTAAGCCCTGGGCCGGGCTGGGACATGTGGGGCCAGAACCCAGGTGGCTTCCAAGGAAATGGAAGGCAGCAAAAAAAAGTTATGCAAAATGGTGAAAAGTGCTCTCCATGACCCACAACTACCCAGGAAGGTGGCAGGGTGGTGGGACTTGGGAGCCTTCCCAGGCAACACTGACAGCCCAGAATACTAGGGAGGATGTGGGGCCCCGGAAACTCTCACCCATGACTGATGGGAACACGACAGGGCACAGCCACTTTGGAGGTCAGATGGGCTGTGGCTCACAAAGTTCGGTGGCCTCGTACCACACGTCCCCAAAGTGTCACAGATATTGACCACACTGATTTGAAAACTGACGTCCAAACAAAAGCTGCATGCTGCGTTCACTGCTTGATTGATTGTCACTCACACCCGGAGGCTACCGAGATGATCTTCAACAGGGGTACTTAAGAGGAAGGAGGTTCCACTCCAGACAAAGACGACTCAGTGAGGAAAAGGAACGAATCCCGATGCCCGCAGGAACATGGGTGGAACTTAGATACATATTGCTGAGGGAATTATGCCAGACCCCACAGGCTACCACCGCAGGATTCCAATTCATCGGCCATTCTGGGAAAGGGCAAAGCATAGAGACAGAGAACGGGTCAGGATGGCCAGGGGCTGACGGAGCCGGGAGACATTAGCTGTAAAGGGGACACACTGGGGACTTGGAGGATGAAGGAGCTGCTCTGGGAGGGGCTGCAGTGGTGGACGGGAGGCTCTGCACATTGGTTCAGAACCATGGAACTGCACGTCCCAAAGACTGGACTTCCGTGTCTGCAACCCGAGCAAAAGGGGAAGAAAAAAATCAACCAGAGTGAAAATGATTACTGATCCAACTGTACACCTGTGATATTTGCATTACAAGGAATGTGGATTTTACTGAAAAAACTCCTAAAAACTCAGGTGTCCTGAAGAGCTCACTGCTTATTTGGGAGAACATCTGAACCCAGAATTGTGTTTGTTGTCAGGGTTTGTAGACAAAATGAAACTGACAGCATCTGCACAAAACAAAACAAAAAAAACCCCCTCTTTTCCCTCTTTTCTAGGCAGCAGGAATTATGTGACATCCTCGTGGCCTATTCTGCATATAACCCTGTGAGTATTCTGGGCAGTGATATTCCTGGGCCCTGTGCCCATATTCACAGGCATGGGTGTCTCTTGGGGGTGTCAGCACTTCTGGAAAATTCAGTGTTCGTGACCCACCAGCACGTAGTAGGCAGGACTCAAACTCACTTGCTGGCGTGGACACCCAAGCAAGGGTTGGCTGAGGGGGTCAAACTGAGATGGAAAATGGTTGAGGTCCAGACTCTTGGTGTCATCTTGACCCGATCCCCATGTCTCAGATGAAGAAATGACCTTCCCCTCCTGGTGTTGCCCTGAAGCCCAGGAGCTTGGCAGGGTCGCATGCAGATGGTCCTCACAGGAGACAGGTTTGACAAGTTGCTGAGGTGCCTGATGGACCAGGCTTTTGTCATGAAATGAGTTTGCATCCTAAGGAAGCCTTTTCTTCACCAGAAACCAGGCAAAGATCCAATTTTCCCTTTCCCTGAACGCCATAGGAGTGCAACAGACAGGCAGGGTGTCACCCAGGTGGCTGCTTCTGTGCCACTCCCACTTTCCAGACCATTCCAGGCAGGGAGAGCTGCTGAGCTGACTCCATGTGCTTCCCACGTGGGGTCTGGACCCAGCCGCCCTCCTGTGCCTGGCAGGCAGCCCCTGAGCTGTTGCAGGACCCTTTGTGTGGTGGTCAGCGCCCCGCTGCCTGCCCTTATGGTGGGTGCAGTTCACAAGTGCTGCTCTAGGCCTGGCATAGTGGCCTCCTCAGCCTGGCCCAAGGGAGGGAGCATGAACAATCCCTGCCTGTGCCCTTTAGGGCCATGTGAGCTTAGACACTCGCTGCAGGAGTCCCCCCAGGATCCTTGTCAGCTGAGTCATACGTGACCTGCTCAGTCCTCATGCCCACCCCAAATCCCTGGGGGTTTGAGGCAGGTGTCCCTGAGGACCTCTGCCATCTCTGGTGACATGAGTCCTCCCAGGTGGCCTCAGTCCTCCCAGGTGACATCGTTCCACAGTGACTCTGGCTCTTGCAGGAGGTGGGCTACCACAGGCACCTGAGCCACGTCACCGCCATCCTCCTCCTGTATCTGCTGGAGGAAAATGCTTTCTGGGTGCTGGCCCAGCTGCTGGTCAGTGAGGGGCACTCCCTGCAGGGTAGGTGGACAGCTGCCCCCAGGGCCTTACACAGCCATGCCAGGGGACGGCCACCCTGGCTGATGATCCTGACTTCCAGGCAAGGCGCCTTCCTTGCATGCCAGCTTATTTGGAGTCTCCAGGATGTCCCTGCTGAGGGTCCCACAGCAGCCTGGGTCTGGACAGGGACCCTCTTACCTCAAGTCAGATGCCTTTCACCCCCAACAGCAGAGGTCATTGATACCTCCCCCTGGCTGGCCTTTGTCCCCCGAAGCCAGCCCCAACTTTGTGCAGGCACCGCTCACCTCCCTGAGTGTCCTCCTGCCTCCCAGCTGGCTGCGCTCCCAGCCACTCTCCCTGCCCACGAATGGGCCAATGAAGCCCAGAGGGCAATGTTCCCCATGCATCCCATGTCCCCCAACCTGACATCACATCCAGGAGATGGCCACACAGCCCCCAGCACCCACCCCGTTCTCCCCACTGGCACCTGCCTGCCTCTGCCCTGCCTCAAAACATCAAAGGCAGGCCTGCCCTCCTGGCACCTCGACCCATGATGCTGCTGGGCAGCACCTCCAGCTAGGGCCCTCCTCCCCAGGGCTGAGGCCGCATGATGGGGTCACCAGATAGGAGGGAGGGAGGCCTCAGGGCCCAGGGTCCTCTGCCACTACCCAGCTCTTGGGAGTGGACTCTGATGGGGTGGTGGGTTTGGGGCTTCTCAGTATTCTACAGTCCGAATACTGCCTGGCTCTGGAGGCTCCTATCACACCAGGAGCAGGTGTTGCCCAAGTCCTTCCCAAAGATCATGAGACACCTGGTGAGTGGACAACACCCCCAGCTCCTCCCCAGAGGCCCTGGGTCCCAAGAGCCAGGGGCGCCTCAAGTACCTCATGGAGCTGACAAGAGGCCAAGTCCCAGCCACAGCCTGACCTGGGATGGGGATTCTCCGTGGGTTCGGAGTTGGGTTCCCTTTTCTTGCCCTGGGAGAAGCAGAGGCGCTGGGACCAGAGCCAAGCTCTGGCTGAGCAGGGCTGAGGGAAGTGTGTCCATTGGGCTTCTGGGTATGGGGCAAGGGTTGGGGGACCCCTGGCCACTGCCCTGGGTTCTGCTCCTCGGAGGAGGGTCTGTAGAGGGGACTGGAAGTGGGAGGACTTCAGGGTAGCCCAGGGGGCCCTGAGCACCTCTGCTCCTCCCTTCAGGGCAAGGAAGGGCTGTGCACTGAGGGTTCCATGTTGATGAGGCTCCTCCGGTGTTTCATGGGTGGGATAAGGAGGCACAGGGAGACCCCAGCCCAGGGATGCAGTGCCCGGCTCCCTCAGCCCAGGGGTCCAGCTCCTCCAGGAGCTGGTTCACCCCCAGCTCGCAGAAGGCACAGGCAGGTTCCTGCAGGGCTCACAAGCCAGGCCCTGCCCAAGAGGGGGCATTCCCACAGCAGAGGCCAGGGCTCGGCCCAGCCTCGAGGGAAGACTGGGGCAGGACCCGACTTGGGAGGGCCCAGGGAAGCCCCAAGTCCTCAGGAAACCCCTCCTTCCGGAAGCCGCAGTACTGCTGAGATGAGCCCCCCATGAGGTGCTACAGAACCTTGTCTGACTCAGTGTTATGGGGGATCTCATCCCATGGAGAGGGGGTCCCCAGCACTCCAGGGTGGGCCCTGCTCAGGCCATCAGCCCCAGCCTGGAAAGGCCAGGTCCTCCCACACCTGCTGTCCCCACAGAAATCCTTTGGGCTCACCCCGCAACTGTGGGATGTGTTTATCTTGGAGGGCGAGCAGGTACTGACGGTCGTGGAGCATGAATCATCCAAAATACTCAGGAATACGTCCTGTGTGCCCAAGGGTGCCTGGGGGACGGAACACGCAGAACAGATCCAGCTGGCCTGAGGGAAGTGTCCTCACACTGTCCCCATGACTCTTTCCTCTATCCTGATAGAGGGGTCTGGCCTGGTGGGCTGGGCAAGGCATGATGACACTGAGTCCACCCCCACATGACCCAGATGAAAGTCAGGAGTGTGGTGAGCACTTCCCTGCCTGGCCTTCCCCAGCTGTCGCCTCCTGTGCACAGCTGGATCCCCGGGTGGCCAAGAAGGAACAGGCACCACCCAGTGGGAGGTGGGCCTGGTGGAAATGGGGTGCAGGCACAGATCTCCCCCAAGGAATCCTCCTGACCTGATGCCCGTGCTGTCCCTAGAGTACCTCATGAAGCTTTCCTGGAGCACCATCTGGGAGTTTCGGGAGCAACTGTCTCAGAGCTGGGCCCTGGAGGACAACGCGGTCTTCAGGAATCTTCAAACCTCCATGAAGGAATTCACAAGGAAACACTGGGACCTGCCACCCCCAGGTGAGCTCCAGCACCAGGTCCCGTCCCGAGTCACCCTCTGGGACAGTCAGTGGTGGGGAGTGCCCTGGCCCCATCAGCCCTCCTACCTGGCCTTCCTCCTGCACCTCTTCTTCCTCCTCTTCCTCCTCTACTCTAAGAAACTCAAATGGGTCTGCCGGTCCTCAGGGCAGGCGCTGAGCACGTGTGTGTGTGCTGGACATGCTGTGTGGACAGGCAGGGGTCATGGGCAGGACCCCACAACACCCCTCCCCGACTTTCCACATTGTCTCCCTCACCCCCTCAAAGGGCCCTGAAGGGCATTGGGGCAGTCAGACCGAGCTGTGGAAGCCCCCACCCCCACCTCCAAGCAACCTCAGAGAGCAGCAAGGGCCCCTCACTCCTGAGTGCCCCTCCAAGGGTATCAAGACAACAAGCCAGGGGGACAAGAGAATCAGTGTCCCTGACCCAGAGAGGATTTGGGCAGAGGGGATGGGGGAAGCTCTGACCCAGAGCCATAACCAAGAGTTCAGCTGGGCGTGGGATCGGTCCAGCCCTGGCATGGGGTGGACGGATTGGAGGGCAGAGGGGAAGCTGTGCCCATTCACTTCTCACCTGCTATGGAGACAGTCCCCCACGCGAGGTGCTGGGTGACAGTGAAGGTTTCTTCCACCTGAGTTCTGAGTCAGGGCTGCCGAACAGCCCTGAGGTGAGGGTGTGAGGCAGGAAGCCCTGAGCCAACCTGAACCCAGGGGGCCATTCTGGGAGTGACCTGAGGTTCTCTGAAAGCTCCCCCACCCCAGGCTGCACACAGCCCTCGCCCTGGGATCAGCAGCGTGCAGGGGCATCCTCAGTGTCAGGCCAGGGGGCCACACAGGGACCCCGAGGACTCCAGAGGCCCCGGTCTGTGGGGCCCGCCCTGAAGGGACCCAACACGCTCAGTGAAGATGTTTCTTTTTTTCCGCCAAGATGGAGCGAGGGTCCTCGAGGGTGTCCCCTGGCATTGGGTCCCTCTGTCAGGGGGACAGACTGGCCCTCCCCACCCCACCAGCTCAGCTCCAGGAGCTCATGCCATCAGTCCCCCTGGAACAAAAGCCCTGTCACCCCCATCCTGGCCGGATAGGACTGTCCCCAAGGCCGAGGCTGAGGCCCAGCAGCACAAGGGGCTTCCCCAGAACCCAGGGCAGCAAGCCACTCTTTGAGGGGCCCAGAAGCTCAAGATGAGGGCAGCCTGTCCCCCGGTGAGGTCAGGCTTTGTATTACACTAACACTTGTCCGGGAACTCTATGCCACAGCTCCACACAGACCCGCATGTCAGGGGTCCGTGTTTCCTGTGCTGCCATTTTGAACACGGCTCCTGGGACTCTGTCACTTCTCCGTCTTCTGTGGACAGCCCTGGAACAAAAAGACAGACCCCACCCAGCGAGCCCACTGGGACCCCGACACCAGGCCCTGCCCTGGCTTATAACAGAGAAGAGGCAGGTCAAGAGACACCCCAGCAGCAAGGTGGCACCTGCCTGTGACTCCCCTCGGTAGAAGAAGAACTTGGAATGGAAGGAGCCCAGGCAGTACCTGCCCAGCTGCCTTACAGCCCAGATGGCTGCTGGACCTTGGTTTTTACTGCTATTTTATTTTTATTTTATATTTTTGGCTTGTGGGCCTTGAGAAATCCCATTCAATGGGGGACTTGGTCCCATCAAGGCCTCAGGAGGGAAGGCTGAGCATGGGGTTCCTGCAGCCCCAGCCAGCCAGCAGCATGCCCTGGGGCCCTTGACCCCACCTGTGGGTCAGAGTCCCTCCTCCAGGGCCCAAGGCCCAGGTCCAGAGGGACCTGGCTTCAACCCGAGTCCTAGGAGGAGAGGGGCACCGCAGGCCTCCAGGTGACCACGCAGGGGACCAGGGCACTGCAAGCCCTGATGTTGTAAGGATTAACATCAGAGAACCTGGGCAAGCCAGGCCAGAGACGCTGAGCCCGTGCAGTGATGAGGATGTGGGGGGCTGGCTCAAGGGGGTCAACAGCTGTGAACACTGCTGCCTCTTCCCGGCCTCATTGCTGCAGTGCAGGCAGTCTGCACCCCGGAGACTGGCCCAGCAGCACCCCGAGTGCCCTAGTCCGCTATGCCAACATGGCACCCAGAGACTTCGCAGCCCTGCCTGCCGTACCACCCCCCTCCTGGAAGCCTTGTCCTGCCACCTAGCCCCTGTCGCAGCCACAGCAGGCACCACTGCCAAGCGCCTTCCAGCCGGGCTTCCCAGAGGGCAGAGGCGCCCTGCAGTCATTGCCTCAGCAGCTCACACTGTGAAGATAGTTTCATCTACATTCCCATGTTCCCACCAAAGAGAATTGCTGCAGAGGATGCTCTTGATCCTGAGGTGGGGAAAACGGCACGCCAGGTGGATGGAGTCAGCTCCTTTCCCCAGCCACCACGACTGCTGGATGGACCCATGGACAAAGTGGCCATCAGACAGGAATGAGACACAAGAGGCTCAGCATCCTGCTTGTACCCTGACCAGGATGACCAGGCCGACACCACTGCCGAGTGCCCCATCTGCTGAGAGACTTGGTGTCGATCCCTGGGCTGGCAATGTTTCCCAGGAGGACCAGTTGGCCACCTATGGGCAGGCTGCCCACACTGTGGAGAGGGCTGAGATCGGCCTTCACTGCAGGGAGCCCCTACTTGGACACAGACTCACTGGCCCTGCCTGTTGCCATCACAGCAGCCCACAGGGCATTGCTTGTGACCAGGGTACCCTATTCACACTGAGGGACATGCAGCTGTGGCCCCTGATCAGGGAACTAACTGTTCTCACTACGTCAGCCGCCACCTGGAAGCAACTGGGCTTAGGATCGCTCAGTTACGCTGAAGTGGTGGTTTGTCTTACAAGATAAATGTTATGCTTTCCACTGGAAACCAGCATATGGTGCTGACCCTCCGACAGCCAGAAGGTGTGGTTCTGAAAGTGAGAGTGTAGAAGCGGATGATGTTCAGTATTGCACGGAATGTCTCAGTCACAGAGTTTTCCTATGCCTGTCCTGGAGAAATGGAGTTTCGCTGGTTGGAAGGTCTGAGGACCCAGGCAGATTGAAGCTTCCCCCAGGGGAACACAACAATGGTTCTATTTAATATGAAAAGACAGGGCTAAGTTTGAAACCCTGGGACATTCTCTGGTGTTCCTGGTGTCTTCATATAAAGAAAATCAAATAAAGGTTTGCCACAGAGGCATCTGAAAAAGGAGGGGGCAGAACTATTCAGAACTCAGAGGCTTCAGAATCGAAGATGAGGCCAAGTAGGAGACTCCTGACCCACTGAGGAAGTATGTAGGGCTGCTGGGAGAGGACGTCATAGAGGTCCACCCCTACCTCGCCATAATGTCACAGAACCGTGCACTTGAATAGCTGTGCACATCATCTTTCCACTGATTATAGTATTTCTTTCTATTTATGACTCTCCAATCAAGCAGGGAACTTCCTACAAAATGCACGTTGCTATACCACAGCCTGGGTCTTGCAATCCAAGGCTGGCAAGGATTCCTGCACGTCAAGAGCCTCAGATGACTTTCATGCACACCCAAAGACAGAATCCTAGATGACACCTTCCTGCTCAAAAAAGAAGGAACGAGGGTCATTGAACAGCGAGCCAGTCATGGAAAGGGGTGAAATGTGAGTGCGTGGCCTTCCTGACACCCAGACAAGACTTTGGGCACAAAGGCAGGCTGCAGCTCTGGCCACTGACTCCAACAAGGGACGCCCCCATGCAGGCCGGTGTGCCCTGGCTGCTCTTCTCCCTCCTGCCACCCTCTCCTCGGCTGTCTGTGCTAGGAAGGGAGAATCTGCCAGTTTTCAGAAGAAAATGTAGCTTTATTATGACATGGGAAAGACTCAAGTTATTAGGGGAGGAGGAGGAGTCCTGAAACAGCTCCTGAAAATGAGAGAGGAAAGGAAGGTGTAAATATGTTGGTAATAAAGTCTCCAACCACAGCACTGTCATGGGAATGTTTTTGTTACAATTTTTGTTTTCAGAGTTACAGTAAACAAAACAGTCTCCTGAATTGTCAAAAGAACAGCAGTTTTACACAATGAAAAGCATACACACCAAGCCAAAATAAGTCACAGTTGGGTCTCTATGTTGCAGTGGTGTTGGTGCAGGAGGGAACATCCAGGGAGGTTCCAGTTCCTGCCAGGCAGCCCAGGTCCACCGAGGGCCCCGGGGCTGGAGGGAGGTCACGTACCACTCGGCTCAAAGCGCTCCCTTCAAGCATCTGAAGAGGGAAAGTCCATTTATCTTCTCTGAAATGCAGGCAATTTTTCATACACTGGTGTGAATGTGTTGGGGTCACCCAGGGGCTCCCTTAGTGGCCAGATGCAGTTTGTCACAAACTGGTTTCCTGAATTTCATATTGGATCGGGAGCTAAAAGAAGAGAGATTCCCAAACCCATCTTGTAAATATTTGGTTCTAACAAAGTAAAATCACAAGAGCACATCAAACACAGGACCTAATGCCCACGGCAGTGCCCAGGGCTGCTGTCCCTCTTGGGTGAGAAGTTCTATAGCAGGCACAGAGGTAATTGCTTAGAAAGGCAATGCCACAGTGAGTAAGGGGGATTCACTTGGATACAAACATTTAGAAAGATGCCTGAAGAAAACTAATGTGGCTCCATCTCTCTTCTGGATTCTAATGTTCCCAGAGCAGCAGCCACCCCTAAATGCAAGTGGAGACAGGATGGAAGCCCAGGGAGACATGGGGGAGGCGGGGCTTGGCCAAACCACAGGCAGCTGCCAGAAAGGCCCACACACCTGTGTTCTGCACTCTGTGGTGGACACCCCAGGAAAGCAGGGGTGCCCCTGTAACTGCCAAACAGGTTCACCTTGTCCGCGGCCTAGACAGAGCCGATTTATTGAGACAGGGGAATTGCAACAGAGAAAGAGTAATTCATGCAAAGCTGGCCGTAGGAGAGACCAGAGTTATACTCCAATCAGTCTCCATTGGCATGATCCATCAGCATTCGGGGATCAGAGTTTGGAAGGATAATTTGGTAGGTGGTGGGGAAGGCCAGTGAGTCGGGAGTGCTGATTGCTTGGGTCAGACATGAAATCACAGGGAGTCAAAGCTGTCTTCTTGAGCTGAGTCAGTTCCTGGGTAAGAGCCACAAAATCAGATGAGGCAGTTTATCAATCTGGGTGGTGCCAGTTGATCCATCAAGAGCAAATCTCTCAAGCACCAATCTTAGGTTTTACAATAGGGACGTAATTCCCAGGAGCAATTTGGGGAGGGGCAGAATCTTGTAGCCTCCAGCTGCATGAGTCCTAAACCATAATTTCTAATCTTATGGCTCATTTGTTAGTCTTACAAAGGCAGTCTAGTCCCTAGGTGAGAAGGAGGTTTGTTTTGGGAAAGGGCTGTTATCATCTTTGTTTTAAAGTATAAACTATAAACTAATAAATGTGCTTTATCAGTTAGGTGTGGTGGCTCACACCTGTAATCCTAGCACTTTGGGAGGTCAAGATAGGCAGATAACTTGAGCCCAGGAGTTAGAGACCAGCCTGGGCAACATGGAGACCCTGTCTCTACAAAAAAATACAAAAATTAGCCAGGCATGGTGGTGTGGTGTATGCTTGTAGTTCCAGCTACTCAGGAGGCTGAGGTGGGAGGATCTTGAGCTCAGGAGGCGGAGGTGGCAGCAAGCTGAGATCGCGCCACTGCACTTCAGCCTGGGTGACAGAAGGAGACCCTGTCTCAAAAAAAAAGATCATGTTTCTCCCTTCATTCTTGTAATGCAATGGATTACACTGATTGATTAGGCAGCTCTGATTTTCCAGCATAAGCTGTAAATCTGCATTCTGGTGGGAAATTTTCCTTTTTTTTTTTTTTTTTTTTAGGGGTTTTTTGATATTTTGTCTCACTCTGTCGCCCAGGCTGGAGTGTCCTTTGACATGTTCCTCTCTCCTGTATTTTCTGTAAATTGGATATGGATGTTTCAGTTTCCTCATGTTTTTTTTTTTTTTTTTTTGAGGGGAGGGGGCTGTGTTTGAACTGACCTCTGTGCTGAGTTCAGTAGCGACCTCCCCAAAAGTCATGTCCACCCAGCACCTGTGAACGTGACCTGATTTGGAAATGGGGTCTTCATAGATGTGATCAAGGAAAGATGAGATCTTGCTGGATTAGGGAGGGCTCTATCCCAGTGACTGGTATCATTATAAGGCAGGGGACATTTGGACAGAGACACAGGAAGGAAGGCCATGTGAAGACGGAGGCAGAGGTTGCATCCAGAGCCCAGGAACACTGAGGGCTTCCGGCCACCAGCAGAAGCCAGGGAAGGGGCCAGGAGGGGGGAACCTGCCGACCCCTCGATCCTGGACTCTGGCCTGACAGGATAAACTTCTGTTGTGTTAAACCCCCTTTGTAACACTGTGTGAGGACTGCCACAGGACACCCCAGCAGCTTGAAGCAGACCTTATCTAAAGGCCCCTAGGCACCTGTGGGTGGGCAGCCGCTTCTCCTGGGTGACAGCCCTCCTGAGTGACAGCCAGAGGTGACAGCCTTGGGTGACAACCCTCCTGGTTAACAGTCCTGGGTGATAGCCCTTGCTGGGTGACAACCCTTCTGGCAGACAGCCCTCTTGGGTGACATGCCTCCTGGGTGACAGTCCCGGGTAACAGACCCCCTGGATGACAGACCTGGGTGAAAGCCTGGCTGGATGACAGCCTTCCTGAAACAGCCCCCTAGGTGACAGCCCTTCTGAGTAACAGCCCTCCTGGGTGACAGCCTCCCTGGGTGACAGCCCTCCTGCGTGACAGCCCTCCTGGGTGACAGCCTCCCTGGGTGACAGCCCTCCTGCGTCAGCTGGGATTACAGGCATGGCATCACATGTCCACTGATTTTTTTTTTTTTTTTTTTGGTAGAGACAGGGTCACGTTATGTTGCCGTCACTGATCTCAAACTCCTGACGTCAAAGTGATCTCCCAGCTTCATTCTCTCTAAAGTGTTGGGAGTATAGGCTTGAGCCACAATGCTGGCCTGTACCTAAATTTTTTTCCGCCAACATCAGAATTTCCACAAAATCATGTGTTCCTATGCCTACATTTTAAAAATAAGACTTGCCGGGCAACGCGGTGGCTCATGTCTGTAATCCCAGCACTTTGGGAGGCCGAGGAGGTGGATCACGAGGTCAGGAGTTCGAGACATCCTGGTAACATGGTGAACTTCC